TATATATATATATATATATATATATATATATACATATATATATATATATACATATATATATATACACTTGACGCAAGACACGTACGACTAATTATCATGATGGGAAAGGGAAGGGGTAGTTACCAGAGGTCAAATGCCGGTGACCTCGATTCAAGAGGCTCAAGATGGTAAGCTTTTGATGATTACCTTCGCGGATTATTAACTCGTGATCTGATTAAGTACAAAAAGACCTCTTTTACGGGTCATTATTAGTGTATGAAGTCCTTCCGATATTATAGGCTCACGATATGAGTATAAGTAATTTATAGGGAGCGTGAATTTTAATGAAAAAAAAACACGAAAAAAAACATGCTAAATGCTAACGTCAGAGAAAAAAAAGTAGATAAAGTCACTTTCGATTAATGCCATTCAAGTTCATTGCAGTTCCGTCTGCAGTTGTCAGATACATCCGGCCTCTTCTCTTCTCTTCTTTCTCCTTCTTTATCATTATCTCTCTCTTTTCCTTTCTGTTTCCCTTTCTCTCTCTCTCTCTGTTTGTTTATCTATCTATCTATCTTTCTTTATTTCTCCCTCTCTGTCTCTCGTCTTTCTTCTTTACGCTCCGTCTCTGTCCATCTTCTCATTCACTCTCCCAGCTCCTCTTTCCTGGTCCTCTCCTTCTCTCTCTCCGCCTCTCTCTCTCTCTCTCTCTCTCTCTCTCTCTCTCTCTCTCTCTCTCTCTCTCTCTCTCTCTCTCTCTCTCTTTCTTTCTTTCTCTCTCCCTCTCTCTCTCTCTCTCTATCTATCTATCTATATTTTTCGCCCTCTCTCTCTCTCTCTCTCTCTCTCTCTCTCTCTCTCTCTCTCTCTCTCTCTCTCTCTCTCTCTCTCTCTCTCTCTCTCTCTCTCTTTCTCCCCCTCCCCTCTTTCTCTCCCTCTCTCTCTTTCTCTTTCTGGCGACAAACCAGTTCTCGCGACGAACTAAAAATGGCTTAGGCTTTTAGAGCGACCCAATGGGAACTAGTTATTATTAAAAAGTCTGTCATTAAAGTTCATCAGGAACGAAAAATAAATGCAATAGATCATCATAATTAACGCTTATTACAACTTTTATTTAGTCTATTAATTTGCCAAATATCTGATCATTTTCTAAGTTTGTCTTGCATCTGAATGTATGATTTGCTCTACGAAATATCTGTTCGTCTTAATCCACAAGCACAAGTCTCAAGCAATACTTCATTTGCTGTTGAAATCATTGATCCCGTTGCACTCTTACGTCACGAAATTCGCCCTCTTCGTAATCTTTCCATCACGTAATCGCTCGCAATTTACGTAATACAAATTTTACATCAACGCATTATTTTCATATAACTACCGATCAGTTACTAATGACGAAACGAGTAGGTGCATTAACGTTGTTTATCATCTCGGAAATTTCTAATAAAAAATCATATTAATTTATATTGGGGCTTCACCTCGTTACGTCAAATGAAATGTCAAAAACGATTTTTTTTTGCGCGGGAAAATGGTAAGAGTTACGGACTCAAATCAAGTTCTTTTGAATTTGGGAATTTGAGTTCGACTTTCACTTCGACCTGCGAGGATGTCCTTGATATATATTTATTTTTCTTCTTTTTTTTAAAGAGATGTTTGTAAGTAGGCCGTGTTCGTTTTATGACCTGACTTGACTCATAATCCAATGCTAATTTATTTAAATGAATTTCTTTCTCGTGCGTGGATTTAGATGTCCATAAATTTTCAACGAATCGCCTGTAAACTTGTAATACATACTGGACCGACAGTTGCTATTTGTTTTGTTAGACAGTTGGACAAATTTAGCCATCCAAGGTAATTTTTCCCCTTCTTTCCCATTTAACCTACATGGCGACCAAACCCGTTTAACCAGTATTTTCCTCTTGTTCTTTGCTACACTCTAAGATAGGTTTAGATGCCACTTTTTATCCGTTCTTTCGCTATTATCGAATGTTGTTTCGCTGTCATTTTTTTTTTTTTTTTATCCCAGAGGGCCCTTCTAGATATGATCTCTGAATATCACTTAATTTGGATACCTTTTTAAAAAAATATATCGTCTTTCTAGTCACGCGATGCATGCGATGCTTTCTACCTTCCTATGTTCTGCCTTTGTTCTTCGTTTGTTCTTCTCACACTGTCATCCTTCCCCCTCCAGATGGGCGTGTGTGGACGTGTCGCTGCCTTCCTGGCCTTGGTGGTCTTGGCCCACGCAGACTCGGATGCGGGCTACGCCTTCCCCACTCCTGGCGGGGGCGCTGGCTTCGGAAATGGGCTTGGAGCAGGAGCAGGGTTCGGAGGGGGAGCTGGAGGTGGAGCTGGATTCGGGGGTGGAGCTGGAGCTGGAGCTGGATTCGGAGGTGGAGCAGGAGCTGGAGCTGGATTCGGAGGTGGAGCAGGAGCTGGAGCTGGATTCGGAGGTGGAGCTGGAGCCGGAGCTGGATTCGGAGGTGGAGCTGGAGCCGGAGCAGGATTCGGGGGTGGAGCAGGA